TTGGCTGTCTTCTCCCATCTCTGGTCCTAGAGAGAGAGAGAGGAGTTTTTAGAGAGAGAGAGGGTTAATACTAATAAAGGGAAGAAGAAGAGAGAGTATATAAGCGGAGTGGTAGCGGTTACTGATTGACTGATAAGAACGGAACGGAACCGAACGGAACTTCGTAGGAAACGGAGAGTCAGTTTTGGAATGCGCCGGGGACTACTCATATTTCAACATCCGAATATTTTAATAGCAAAATAATAAAATGATTTTGAATTCTATGATTTGAAATTTAATAAATGATTTTAAATTCTTGATTTGAAAATAAATTAAATTAAATGTTTTGTTAGTTGAAAATGAAAATGAAAATAAAATAAAAATTTTAATAGGATTTAAAATCCTATAAAATCATTCAAAATCACTTGATACAAATAGTTGAAATCATCATGATTTTGAATTGGTTCAAAATCCATCGTACCAAATGTTTTGCAGCTAAAAGAGATAAATACAAAAACAATTTCTCCATAAACAAAAACTGTTTAGGATTGTCAAACATTTAATGGGGGTGAAGTTAAGATTAATCTTCCCCAACAAAGAGCCTCGTTAAGATACTATTTTATTTTTATACTTTCAGTTTTTGTTCATTTTGGTTTTTGTACTTTCAAATTATTCATTTTTGTCTATCTACTTTTAACTTTGGTTTATTTTGCCAACCAGAGCATAGCTTAGCATTCTTAACTCACCAAGCCCTTCGTTCGTAAAGTCGTGTATTGTAAGTGATCCGAACCTGCCCAGAGCGAGCCTCCCATAGAGGCAAGTGAAGTTGGTGGAGTTAAAGCATATGTATCCAAGGTTGAGAGTTCGAATCTCCACCCCCACCCTCATATATTGAACTAAACTTAGTTTATTTTAGTTCATATAATTTCAAAATGTTAATTTTTGTTCATATACTTATAAAAGGCGGTCATTTTAATCTCTTATTTATGTTTTTAATCTCTCTCTTTTAGTTATCACAATTTCAATACAACATTACACTCAATATATTTCTTGAGATGTAACCATGAGTTTAATTAAATAGTTTTCGTATTAAAATTTGTATAAAATTTGCAAAATGATCAATTTTTAAAAGTACATGGACTAAAATTAACTAAATTGAAACTATACAAAGACCAAAATAGTATTTTAACCTTGTTTTTATTTCTTCGTTTTTGTACTTTCTATTTTCATTTATTTTGGTTGGTATAGTTTAAAAATGACTGTTTTTCTTCATATACTTTTAATATTGGCTCATTTAGTCAATAAACTGTTCAATATTTGTTTTCATCCTCGTTAAAAGTGAATTTTTTGTTTTTATTTGCAAAATTTTAACACAAACTTTATATGCCATGAAAATTTTTTAATACAAATTTATGGCTAAATTTCAAGAAGTTTAAAGAGTTAAGTGTCATGTTAACATTTTGATCCAGATAAATGAGATAAAATAAAAATGAATAGAATAAAATTATTATTTTCTAAATTTTTTTATAAAAAAATTATATAGACTCTTTTGAGAGTAGAGGAATTAAAATCTAACAAAAATTAAAAAATACAGGGATTAAAATAAATCAGATTAAATTAACTAAAATCGGAAAGAAATAAAACTAAAATAATTTTTAGACCTATTTATTTTATTTGTTTATTCGACCTGGTCAAAGATTTGTGTTTATATGGAGAGGAAATAGAAGGAAAATGGATGAAAAAGCAAAACTTGGATTTTTCTACTCGTCTTTTTTTCCTTTTTTTTTGTTGGTTTTTTTTCCCTCTCTCTCTCAAAGAAATAATATTGTTTTATATATTTTATTAAAGTAATGCATTATGTTCATATTGTGTCGATATATTTAAATAGAACGTTGTTTACATCCATGGATAAATCAAATAAGGAGGGAGGTGGATCCCTTTTCTTCCCAAATAACTTACAAAAATCAATGTTTAAATTACAAATTTAGGCCTCATGGGGTAATATTATAATTTTTTTTCCTTCTTGTTTTTTTTTTTCTCTAAAAAAACTTGTTGTTTCTTGTTTCATGTTTTTTTTTATCTTATTGAAACAAAATATATAA